ACTGTTTTCCTGAAGAACATTAACCTTGTTTGTATAGTACTTATTCGTATACAAATACCCCCCATCTCTAACCTTTCAACATTTTACACTGTTTTCCTGAAAAACATTAACCTTGTTTGTATAGTATGTGTGTTCTTCAGTATGAATTATATGGTTATATAAACAAGTTACTTGATATCAAGGGTAGGCAAGTGCAGCCTTTAGATGCCCTGGGCCTCCACTTCTAATCAGTTCAAGCCAAAAGCAAGTGAGAGATTATGAGAGTTGATGTTCTACAACATGGGAGAACAACAGTCACTCGTCCCTGCTTTACATCTGGCCTAGGTATGACTAAAGTTGTAACACCTCAGATAGCTAAGACTCATGTGACTGAATGAGCTTCCAAACAAACAAGAAACAAAAGTCTCTCCACACATAAAACTAGATGTTGCAGAACAGGGTGCTAGCTTATTTATCTCCCCAGCATGCTAGCTTTCATTCGGAAGGGTTTCAGACACATAATATATTGAAATATAGGAGAAGGAGGAAAAGGAGGAAAAGGAGGAGGAGGCAAAGGAGATGGTGGTGGAAGCCAGTTTTCCCATCTGGCCTGTGGCAGGAAACCAAGAGCCAAGCAGGTGGTGCAGAGACACGGATGCTGCAGCTACAATTCTCCTAGCAGCTAGCCATACGTATGTGCCTTCCAATGTGGATTTGACCAGGGGTACTGCAGATCTGATGGTAGAACGTGCAAAATCCACAGCAAGGATAAATTTCCTTATTTTCCTGGCACACTTTTTCTGGAATCCCAGAGGCAAGTACAATCCACCTGATCCATGGAAGATGTACACAATTATGTCCTCAGAGGAAGCAGCAAATGGGGAAAGATGACACTGAGCAGAGTTTGAAATAAGTGGGAAAGTTAGAAGCCTCTGCTCATCTTTGTGGTCACTGACCCATCTAATAGCTTTGCATCTTAGTGACAACTCCTTATGCCATATTCCTTCAGACACTGCCAAGCTTCACAATATCGTATACTGTATTTGCACTTGTCATCTAATAAAATCCACTGTGTACCAGCAGACCTCATAAACATGGTGTCACTCAGGAAACTTATTTAAATAGCAACCTGTTACAAGTTGTATCATTTTAGCTGGAAACATTGTTTAACTTTCAGACACTGGGTTTGAAAGGAACCCCACTCACACAAGGTACTGTATTCTGAATCTCTATTGAGGAAACAGATGGAATAAGAAGGTGAATGAATTACAGTATTAACCTGGCAGGTACTGCAAAAAGAATTTCAACGAAACAGCCACCTCCAAGATCTTAGATTGTGTTGCAAAAACCAAATCTAACAAGACCAACAGCTCTGTTTTCTGTCATGTGTTACATGATAAATATGCTGCTTGGGAGCTATATGGCTATTGTCCATCATAGGCATTCAACTGGGAATACTGGAAAAAAAAGCTATTATGCAGGAAATTCTAAACTGTAATGATGACATTATAAGTCTTGTACTCTCCAGGGGCTGTGGAAGTACTCATGCCATGCAAGAAATAATGCCTACAGAGATTTCTTAATGTATGACAATTCACATCTAAAATGTATGCTATTTGTGTTACTGCACGACGATTTCTGCCTGTACATTGAATTAAGTTACACTGCTCTTCAGTAATTTATCCACGGCTGAGCTAGCTACAATACCTAGAATCCCTTGCCACTGGTCATGTTCACCCTTCTGGGAGTTGAACTCCAGACAGCTTGAGAGAGAAGGTTTTCTTCTATTTGTGAAAGAGCAGGCATGCTGGCTGGAGATTCCTGGAATTATAGTCCGAAAAGTAACTTTTCCAGGCTTTGAAAGAAGACCTGTGGGTTAATGAACCTCTGACAACAGATAAAAGAGGAAGAGGTCTGCCAACACCAGTTTTAAATCCAGAGGAGATTGCTAGGAGAGACACAGTCCAGTTGCTCCTGCCTCCAGCATAAGAAAAAAAGAAGAAGTACACCATCTACTCAGGGCCGTGAAAAATAAAGAGTGAAAGAGAGGAGATAAAAGCTCAAAGTGAAAAAAGCAAACAAGCACTTGGATCTGTTTGAATGGATGGGTAAAAAAAAAAAGATTTAGAAGTGGGACAGTTTTCAAAGAGGCAGCCATGATAATCTGTAAAACTGGAACAGCTTCAGAAAATGTTATTTCAATTGATTCAGCCATCTGGAGACATCGTGATAAGTTGCATAGATCTAGCTTTCCCAAGCCCTAGCACCCAAATCTAAGTTTCCTATATGATTTCTCCAAAGAATAATTCTCTGGATGGCTTGCTTGTAATTACACAACTGACATATTCTGCTTTCCAGGTTGTTTCTCACATCACATCAAGGGTGATATTCAACCTTTTCACCTTCACACTTGAACTCTCAGAATCTTTTACTGCTGACCATGTTGGCTGGGGTTTCTGGAAGTCGAACACAAAACATTTGGAAGGTAAAAGTTTAAGAACCACTGTCTTACACCAATTAAGCCTTTTCCTAAATCTGCAATTCCTCTTCCACCAAAGAAACTGTTCTGAATTCTGGTCTTATTTTATTTTTTGCTTCCTAACTCTCTGGCATATGTCTATCAAATGCTTCACTTGCTATGAACTTTTCTGAGATAAAATTATGCCAATCCATTCTTGCTATGGGAAAAACCATATGTTTCCAGAGCGAGTTGGATGTGATAATTCTCACTTGTGGTCTCACATTTATCTGAGAGTAGATCTAATTAAATGCAGGGATTTACTTCCAAGTAAAGAGTGTCCTATACATGGGACTAAGTGGTACCATAATATTCAACTGGACCTATTGCTGGGAAATTGATCATAGGATTAGTCAACACAGTTTGGGGTTGGAGAGATTAAGATTCAAATCCCCACTCAGAAATAAAACTCAGTGTCTGGCCCTGGGCTGGTTATCCTATCTCATCATTGTCATCTTAGAACTGCACAGCTGAAAGGGGACCCCATGGATCTGCATCATCCAATCAAAAACCAAGTTATAGCAATCCTAACAAGGACTTTCCAAACATGTGACATATTTGAGGAATGCTTCTACCAGTGCTAACCCCTCTCCCTAAGAGACGTGGGCCAAATAGGGTTGCCTAAGGTACAGTCTTGTTTCCTGACCTGAAACAACATGTAAGGATCGCACTAAACAATATACCGCACCTCACAGCAAACGTAAGCAACCATAATTAAATAATAATTGCATGCCTCAAGTAAATTCTGATTTATTACGGCAACCCTTTTCCAGGGTTTTCTAGGTAATCAATACTCAAAAGTGATTTATCATTCCCTTCTTCTGGGGGCCTCAGTGGACTATGAAGCTTGCTCAAGGCCACATAGGCTGGCTCCTCTCACAGGAGGCACAGTGGAGAATCGAACTCCAATGGCTCACTCCACAGCCAGATACCCCAAACCACTGAACTATCCAGCCAGTTTAAGAAACCCAGCCAATTTGTCACTCTATCCACAACACCATCGTAGGTATCTGTCTCACTGGGAGCTACCTCCATATAAACTGAGGGAGGAAAAGAGTCAGTTATGCTCATCAAAGTCAGGATATAAACAAAGCTAATAATTTAAGAAACCAAATAGCAAGCTTACGTATTAAGAAGTCTTACAAATATATATGTTTTCTGTATGGGAGTCCCTGCATCTTTTCTAGAAAAGAGAATTTTGGCAGGTGTAGTTTGCCATGGAAGCAACGAACTCAAGAGAATTTCCTTCTGTGCAACTATTATACTCTCGTCCTGTTTTCAACCCAGCCATCCTTGTTTTCTAACAGTTGATACCAAAATAAATAAATGCTTTTTTTCTTCAAAAATGGGATCCGTTCATCAAAACAAATTTCTGGGCTAGGCAATACTTTTATTGGATCAGCAAAAAGTTACCCAAAAAAAGGCAAACACAAAAGCTTAGTTTCTTTGTAACATTTAATGACCTAATAACAATATTGGCTAGTGCAGAAATTTGCTTCTATATTATAGGTAACGCCTATTAGAATAGGGAACTCCTCGGGTGCTAATTGTGTGCGACTGCCAAAGAAGATAGTTTTCTCACTGCCCCTAATTTGCAAATGAGCTTCTTTTGATTTGTGATTATGCCCGAAAACCAAACCAATTTGTCTTCTTGATTTCTCAGGCACCCGTGATAGCTTCCACGTCCGTCTCCTGACAGCTTTTAACGACGGGTTGTCTCTAATGTACAGTTTGGCTCTCAGAATTATAGTCCGTTAAATGCAGGGATGTTGACACTCGAGGAAACCAGCGGACAATCGCGAACGTCCCAGGCCGCTTTTCGTTCCGCAACCTTGCGAAGTCAAACGTTTGCTGGCGCCGTGTAGGCAAAACAGTGTAAATATCTTTAATTTTCTTTTAACCATCTTTGAAGTCGAAGCCAACTTATTTTAAAATGCCTTGCTCTGAGTTCCAGGAGTCCACCCTCCCAGCCCGCTAACATAGGTTACTTAGAAAGGCCCTCACTGGTCTCAACTTAGTGGGGTTGGGGAGATGGAAGAGGTCAGGTTTCCAGTGAACGTTTTGGAAGGGACCGGCGTTGACCCTCGCCTCGCCGCGCCCCTCAGCCCAGGCGCGGGCACCCCTTCC